TTTCTAACGATTATCCAGATATGTTTTCATTTCTAAGCCTTCTTAAAAAAATTAATTCGTCCCAGTTACATACTAATATAGTGATTCCCACATTGCGCCACCGCGACCTCTTCCCAGGGGCGCAGCGAAGTATTCGAAGATACACGAGTTTTATTTATTTATTTTTAATCTTTTACATACGAATAGTCCTATTCTTACTTAGGTTAGGGCGCCGTGGACAAATTGTAATTGTAAAAAGTCGCCACGACTAAGAAAAGTTTGGGACACACTGCAGGTTTAATTCGCGCGTTGCTATGGGAATACAGAGGTTTAAAAAAAATGTGTTACTTCCCTTATCGCACGGTCACCTGCTCTAAGCCAGGGAATTGTGAACTAAACTCCGAGGAAAAGGTGCCTGGAATTTCTGCTAGGTAATTTTAGAAAATGTTTAGATTTGGCAGCCTTTTGCGTACTTTAGCCCAATAGTTATTAACGAGGGTACCTGGGTTCTTCCCCCCCCCCCCCATAAACTGCTAATTAAAGTAAGAACGAGGTTCGGTGATATCATATGCTAGGACATCTGTATTAGAAATGAGTGACAGTAGTACCTGAAACAAGATTGTGGCCTTGCATTACTTTAGTAAACTAAATAATGGGGACAAGAAGAGGAAGAGAAAGAAGAAAAGAAAAAGAAGTAATAGAAGGGGGAAAAAAGAAGAAGAAGAAGAAGAAGAAGAAGAATTATCTTTCTCTCTCTCTCCCACACACACACACACACACACACACACACGTGTGTGAGTTATAAAATAAAGAGTGGTCAACTTTCCAAACTTTCGCTTCTATCTTCCTTTCCCTTCCCCATGCTGAGGCTACATTGACTTGTGTTTTCATTTAATTCATCGCGACCAATGGGGGAAAATGCATAAAAACAACAATCCAACTGGGACACAGGTGTGCGAGATTTAAGATGACCGGCTGATGAATGATTATCTGGTTCATTTCCGAGACCGCAATACCAATCCAGACTTGCATCAGGCATGAGCATACAGCAAACGGACGCAAATGTTACATCAAATGGAACTATTAGTCAACACAACACGATAGCGAAGCCTTGGTTCAGAAACCTGCGTGGCTTGACTATCGAACAAAGAAAATCTATTCGCGAATTGCATCAGATTGTGTGTGTGATAAACTATATAAGTTAGTACCACTGATAGGTCAGACTATAATATATATAATGATACAAGCCAGAACTAAAGAACTGAAGAATCGAAAGTCTGAACGTCTCAACTGCTTGGCTATACAAACAGAAAGTACAGTGTAGCAGTCTAGCGGTTATCAACAAAGCTTAACACACGAGGACACAGACAGCGCGTCGTTTAAATAAGGTAAGAAAATTCTATGTCTATATAGATAAAAATTTGAACAGACATCATTACGGTCTTAAGATAAATCTTTATAATTTAATATTTCAGTATTTAGATAAATCTCATAATAATAATACTTAATAATAATATCATATCAATTATATGATTTACTTAAACCACTGAAGTAATATTTATTATTATTATTATTGTTACGCAATTTATCTAAATACTGAAATACATACTAAATAATACTTTATTTTATTTACTGTAGAACCTCGCTTAACGAGCATCTGATCTTTCCAGTTGTAACGATGTTCTCCAATGTCTCTCTTCTAATTATGTGGCCAAAGAACATACAGAAGAATAGGTTCTATGTATTTTTAGCACCCTCTTTCTGACATTAAATGAGAGTCACTTATTGCATAAAATATTTTTCATTTTCTGAAATGCAGCTTCCACTTGAGTTATTCTGTTTTAATCTCTGTTGCATATTTTCCATCTGATGATATGATTGTTCTTAATTGTTCTGAAATCTTCCCCGTCTACATTGATGTCTTTCAATATTTTTATCATCTTTTCATGTTTAACTTTGTCAAATGCCTTGGTGTAATCTATAAAGCACAAATATATAAGTCCTTTTGTTTGTCCATTGATCTTTCTATCAGTGTTCGTAATATGCATATTCATTGCATCACTTGTCCCTTTACCTTCCATAAATCCATACTGCTCTTCACTCATTTCCATTCCTATTTTTCGTTTTGTTCTTCTTCTTATAATTCTAAGTGGTAGTTTGGTGACATGATTTATCAAGTTGACTACGAAATTCTTCACACTCAATTGCTCTTGCTCTTTTGTGTAACGCAATAAGTAGATTTCATCAGACCACTTGGAATGTACCTAGTGTTGTAAATGTCATTTAACAGTTTAGTTAATTTAGATATATTATATAATATAAATCTCATAATATTGCATTTCAGTGTTGAAATAAATCGCTTAATATACTATTTTAATGTTTAGTTAAATTGCATATAATAATATAGCATTTCAGCAAATTGATACAAACATTAACTCTTTGAGTCCCAAGGAACGCATCATACGTTTATAGGTTCCTACCTAAAAGCCCAATGAACGCATGATGCGCCGATTTTATTACTTTATTTACTACCCCCTGGGTCTGTGATGCTAAACCCCCTGGGACTCAAAGAGTTAATAAATCTGACAATTTTAGTGTTCAGATATTAATATATATGAATAGCATATAAATATGACAGTAGACAGTTTCAGTATAGATATAGAAAAGTTTCAGTAAATCTGTAAATTAATTGTTAAAAAAAGAGTGAAGGTCCCTTTTCCATGTCTTTAGGCGTACAGGGCATATACGGCTAGACCTATATTTTTATAGACCAATCGGTTCAAGATAAGTGATGTTTACTTTTTACATCTAAATAAATAAAATGTTAATGTTTAGATAAATAAATACACCAGAAATATGAGTGTCAAGAAATGTCATGTTTTGACATAATTATGTAAAACTGATACCGGCATCTAGACAAAATGTAATTTATAGTATAGCTTAAAGTTTAAATGACTACAAATTAAATAACATTAACATATTATACTTATACACTGTAAACAGCTTTACAGATCTGAGTTAAGACAAGCAAATTTATGTAGCTTCAGTGTTTAGACACATATGAGAATACACTCAGTTCCATATTTTACACATAGCAAAATATAGTTTCATAGTTTACAAAACTGGGCTCTCCTTTCAACTACGGCCGGTAGACAACAGTAGACCGCCGGTTAGTCGGAGTTCTGTCCCCTGGCTGCAGTGCAATTACGGACTGGACAGGAGGAAACAAAATAAATGACATAATTACTGTGTGTTGGCGGTAGGTAGCGTGCACTGCCCCGCTATAATCATACGGTTAGGGATTGGGTTAGGGTTAGGTTAGAGTTACGGTTAGTGTCTCCGCATCTCGTCTTCGCACAAACTCAAAGTAGCAACCCTCAACCTAACCCAAACCCTAACCGTATGATGACAGTAGGGCACTGCACGCTGTCTATCGCCAACACACAGTAATTGTGTCACTTGTTTTGTTCCCTCTAATCCACTCCGTAATGTGTCGCAAAAAGCGGTAATTGAATGCGGTCGCTAATTTGAGTCGCAGCGCGGGGTCTGCCAGGCATGTCGACCTCACTTTGTTTTCTGAATCGTGCCTTCTCCAGTCCGTAATTGCACTGCAGCCAGGGGACAGAACTCCGACTAATCGGCCGTCTACTGTTGTCTACCAGGCGTAGTTGAAAGGAGAGCCCAAAACTGATTATATTTGTAGATCCATAATTTATGTAAAATTGTTGAAAAAAAATCGAATAAGTTATACAAAATTGTATGAATAATAACTATGAAAACGAAAATAGTTTCATAGTTTTAAATTTTTAAAAACTACTGATAATACTGAATATAATTTTTCAGTGTTTGCACAGAAGATAGTACAGTTTCAGTGTAAACATACACTGAGAATATACTTTCAATGTTTAGGAAAATTCAATGTAGATTGTTTTGTGGGTTTAGGAAAACCATTTGCGAATTTGCAGATGCCTCTATAATTGCTCTAGTCACCTCCCATAAAAAAGATCTTAGGTTCAAATCTACATCAAGTGTTTTTGTAACTGAACGAACAAATCATATTTTCAAAGGGTCACAAACTGGGCACGCAGTCATGTCTTACATTCGGCCCTTCCAAACACCCGTCATTTACATAGCAGATGTATTTTATCAATAAAGCCTATTATATTTAAATGATAATATGCATATTGTGAATATCAAGAAAAAACACAAAAGCATGGGTGGTAAAATGCATGCACACACTAGCGTATGCACACATATACACCCACATACCCGTGCCATCCACTCACTTAAACATTTATATACACACCTAAACACATACATACACATATTCCACACACATACATACATACATACATACATACATACATACATACATACATACATACATACATACATACATACATACATACATACATACATACATACATACATACATACATACATACATACATACATACAGATACATTCATGCACACACAGAACCACACACAAACACAACCCACAGGCACATCTGCAGATGTACACACGTAGACACACAGACATACATACATACATACATACATACATACATACATACATACACACATACATACATACATACATACATACATTACTTACATTACATACATACATACATACATACATACATACATACATACATACATACATACATACATACATACATACATACATACATACATACATACATACATACATACATACATACATGTACACACAGAAACACACACAAACATAACCCACAGGCACATCTGCAGATGTTCACACGTAGACATACACATATACATGCACAGATACATTGACACACACGCAGGCACACACATGCAGACTTATACACAGACACACACAGAGTAAAAGGCAAAAACTGAGGTGGTGAATAAATTAACCTCAGTTATTAAAGCCACATATCTGAGAGTGCTATATTTGTTTCTATTTCCACAGGTCCAGATATTTAAAAAACTGTTCTAGTCATTTCTGAGCACACAACACATCAAGACACTAACATGTGTGGCAGACTGTTGTTCTTCCTAATCGGTATGTACGCTGGAGTTGTGGCCAACCAACAATACCAGATGCCTAATGCTCCAACACCCAGTGAGGCTTGGGAGAGAGCTGCAGCCAGATTCGAGAAATACAAGCGTGAGCATCCTTGTGAACACAAACCTCCTCACTCAAGCTTCTATGACAACCCCGAAGTTAAAGACATCATTGATAGATTGAAGTCTTTGGAGAGAAGACGAAGGTCTGAAGCAAGGGAGGATAACTGAGTTTGTGACTAAACAGAGTGGTGTGAATATTAAAGGAAGCCTTCATCAATGCAGCGGAGCTGTCTTAGTTACAGATTGAAAGAGAAGGTGAAGATCTTTACCACATTAAAGAAATTTAAAGTATTCTTTTCACTCTTGAACTCTTTCAGTGCGACATAGATGTTACTTTGCCTCTCAGAGCTTTCCAAACTCTTAATGCTGGTGATACATTTTTGAAACAAACATTAATCAAATGTGTAAGAGACTTTGACAAACTATTTAACATATTTAAAGCTAGTAGCCGATTTAACTATGATGTGGAAATTGTTAATATTTCATGCAATTGTTATAAAATGTGTCAATTAACTTAGTGGAAAAATATATATAATAACCACTTATGTTAGCACTGATATTGTGGGCTTGGGTGCTGAACATTGTGTTCAACCCTCTATGGTCACACAACACATCTTCACACTGTAGCCAGAACACTAATGTGCCATGACACATAATTTTGAAAGCTCTGATCTAACTAATGAATGTTTGATTCTAAGGAGTTATAGTAACACTATTTGACAAAAGATGAGGTAAGAAACAGAACAGAATCGGATATATTTATGAGAATTGGATGAGTCACATCAAAGTTCAGAAGACTTTATCATATCAGTTCTTATTCTTCTCCGTGTGGGTTCTGGGGTCCTGCTATAGGAAAAATAAGAATAGACCCACTGCCTACTTAAAAGTATTTCGTAAGAGTCGACTAATTGGGAGCTTCCTTTAAAGTCACAGTGCATCTGCTTGAGAAGCAAGGAACCAGCAGTCTGCATACAAATAAGTCAGATCTGTAAAACGGATGCACACGCAACACTCAGGTTCTGGAAACGGACTGCAGTCCAGAAGTGGATGAACAACCAGAACTTTACACCAGAGTTTACAGTGAACGATTCTGGTTGTCCGTACACGTCTAGACTTTAGTTTTATTCTAGAATTTCATGCTGTGGAAAATTTGCTTTATATGTTTTTCTTATTTGTTTGCAGACGGTTGATTCCTCATCTCTCAGACAGATGCACTCTGACTTCAAAGGAAACATCCCTAGTTAGTTGACTTTTACGACATACTTGTTAGAGAGGCAGTGGGTCTATTCTTTCTTTAGAGCTGGTCGCGATAAGCGGCCCAGGATTCTAGTAACTTCCCTTGCCATTTATGCCTCTTTAGGTCACTGGACCTCTCCTTTGTTGCAGGGGTGTTATGATATAGCTTGTTTTAAAGTTCGCTCGGCGTGTTTGTGGGAGGTTGAGTTGTGAGTCTATTTCAGGTGGCGCAGGCGCCTGTGCACATATAAGAAGTACTGCAGGAGGAAGCACCGCAGGCGTGATAATTCTTGGCTATTGAAACTGGCATGTTTTTCTATGTTTCTATTTCTACGTTTGCTGGTGGTGGCTTACGCTCAAGAGAAAGAAAGCAGTTACAAGAAGCATAGAAATAGAAAAATATAGCTGTTTTTATGCTCACGAAACGTCACGGAGGTAGCAGCATAAATAATCTCGCAAACAAGCGGTGAGAAGATGAGACAAGAGGCAACGGTTGAAGCGTCCACATTACGGACAAAACTCCTCTGCAGCATAAGAGAGTTCCAGTGACCTAAGTAGGCATGAATGGCAAGGGAAGTTACTCTAATCCTGGGCTGCTTATCGTAACCTGTACCCTTTCTTTTACTACAATGGGACAAAAGGCTGTAATTATCAGTTGTTCTAAATACAAAAAGCTGTTTTTATTTTGCATGCACTGGGCATTATTTTGTTATGGCATTGCCATGTAACAGAAGTTTATACATTCGGTATTATATGAAACGATAAAGTTTATTGAGGGGATAGACTTCACTGCACTGGCTTTTACCCCACATAGATCAGTTTCTGTCCGCAGAACGGCCTGCCAAAAGCGAGACAAATGCGGCATGAACACCTTAGCTCCCGTGAAAATCCCAAAGGGTCTGAGTAAAGATTGCGCTAATAAATAAAATGACACAGCTGCGAAATAAACCCATGATCTTCAAGGGTGCAAGGTAATTGGTATGGCCACTTTGCCATGGAGACAACCCAAATCAGTATTAGATATAACGAGACAGCACTGTATAAAACAACAAGAATCAGTAGCCAAGCATGACCACAATTAGCCACTGATACTGCAAGCGACTTTGGTGCTTAGCCTGAAGACAGCACTGGCAGTCAAGAATTTTCAGTTCTCTTTTCTGCCATCAGGCATGTTATTACTTGTTTATTTTTTCATTTAACTGTTGTAGTATGGAGGGGGGGGGGGGGGAGTCTACGTCATGGGCCCTTTTGATGCCAGTGGAAATGTTGGGTGTATGATGCTAAACTAACTTTTATGGACCAATCCGCACGTGATGAGTGATGTAGTCAGCATCATACCCGCCCATTTGACTTCCAAGGACTTTATACCTGACACCCATTTTAGGCTTGGTTGACCTATGGGTCATTATCAATTTTTGTTTTAATCTGACTCAACACGGATTTGAACCCAAGAGCGCCAGGCCCGCAAGCAATCATCTAGCCTCTACATCACTGGCCCAAAAAAAAATTTTTTTTTTTACTTAATTTATATAGATGGGAGTCGCCGTGGCATTGGTGGCTAGATGCCCGCCTGCAGATCGGAGCCTGACTTTTTTTTTTTCAGAAATGACCTTGACTCTCAGGTTGACCCAGCTTTGAGTGAGTACCAGGCGCTGGAAAGTAAAGGCGGCCTGTGTGATGCTGACCACATCACCCACCAAGTGCCGATTGGTTTATACAAATATAGGTCTAGCCTTATATGCCCAATACGCCTACAAGCATGGAAAACAGACCTTTACTTTACCTAATTTAAATTTTTACCTTCTGCTGATATGCCTCCTAAATATATATTTTTTGTATTTTCCTTAAGGTTTAAATTACTGATCTCGTAGGTATCTGCTTCATATTTCATAACTTCCCCGTGTGGGTTCCGGGGCCCTATTATAGGGTAAACAAGAATAGGCCCAATGCCTACTCAAAAGCAGGTCGTAAGAGTCGACTAATTGGGAGCTTCCTTCGAAGTCGGAGTGCATCTGCCTGAGAGGCAAGGAACCCACAGTCTGCACACAAATTAGTCAGATCTGTCAAACGGATGCACACGTAACACTCAGGTTCTGGGACAGAACTTTCCACCAGAGTTAACAGCTGGTGAACGCAAAGAAGAAGAAGAAATTTCAGAACCAGACAGTTGTTAATTTAACTCATTCAATGCTATCAGTTTTTATTTTAAATAAAACAACTGGATTTATAACTATCAAATGACAGCCTGACAGAATTGAGAGGGTTAAAGGAAAAAACACAATACAGAGGTTTAATATAACAACACACTAGTACATTAAAAGTTAGGGAAAATGTGGAACATTTGGGGTAATCAGAGGTTTTTGAACAAAGTATAAACATCATGGCACAAGGGTGTAACCCATAAGTGCTCCGTCCTTCTTCTAACTCAAGTCTGATTCCGAAGAAGCTCAGCACGGTGCACAGGCTCTGTAGCACCGGCGAGCAAAAGAGAAACCTCAAACCTTGTGTAATCAATTAAAGAAAGGGGCAGTTAATCACTGTACATATGGGTTAATCAATGAACATATAGGGGCAGTTGATTGATGTACGGGGTATTCAATTAATGTATTGTGTGCTGCTTCATTCAAAAAGACTTAACTCTTTCTAAACCAAGCAGCTCACTAATATGTTTATTTAGTCTAAATAAAATTTATTATCTTTTTCTTTTTTTTTTCTACCACAATCAATATATTAACATATTCTATTCTCAGTATAAGCTTAGCATTTTTCTCATCCATCATTTTAACTCATTCTTTTACAAATACTAACTGTTTGTTTGTTTTAGTATCCAGAAGCCATGAGTTGTTAATGTTAACCCTTAGGCTCGGTATTATGGATATCGCAACCTTTCGGTCTTGATTCCATTGTAAATACCGTAAATCTGGGAGAAATGTGGCTTTTCTGCCTACCCCGGGGAGTGAACCCAGACCACTAGGAATTCGTCACCCGCTCACCGCGCAATCCGATTTAGCCAACTACGCTAGAGAGACGGGCCTACTAACTGTTTAAAAGTACTATGATAACAAGAGTTTTTTCCCCTATGTGGGGAGATACGGCAAATATGCAAGGCAATTAAGTTTGCAATGAATTGTTTGTGTTCTAATTATTTACATTCAAAATGGAAAAACATTGTTTTGAATGTACATGTTTGTAAAATATGTTCAATTATGTTGTCTCTACAAACTAGGAAAGTGGAGAAAAACAATGTAACGTTTTTTTTGTTTTTTTTTATTCAAAATATTTATAAAAGTTTATTTAATACTTCACAGGTTTTTCAGTTATGCCTTTTTCCTGATTTTTCAGAATTTTAGAGAAAAATGAATGAATCGCTGTCATTTTGTTGTTGTCCATTATTCCCCCAAAATATCACATTGTTGTCTGTCGGTTACGGATGGTTGCTTGGTTCTGACTCATTTGGAAGACATGAGGTTTATTTAACACATGACACCTGTGCATTAACCCAGTGGTTCTCAACCTTTCTAATGCTGCCACCTTTTAATACAGTTCCTCATACTGTGGTGACCGACCCCCGACCACAAAATTATTTTTGTTGCTTTTTCATAATTTCAGTGAATATGTGTTTTCCGATAGTTTTATGTGACCCCTGTGAAAGGGGTCGCGACCCACAGAAAGAGAATCGCTGCATCATCCCTACTGCCTTGGTAATGCAAAAAGTAATGAACTTAAGGGAGTTACTGAAAAAATCTGTATCAGGTGATCAAAGCTATAAGTCCTTTCACTGAGGCTACAGAAAAATTATGACATCAACAAGGCTGAAAAAAGTAACTTGGTTCACAATAAAACCCCCTTAGATCAATGATTCCAAACTGTGCACCACGGCACCCCAGGGAACGAATAGTCATACTTTTCTTAGGTTAGGGCACCGTTAAAAATTTTTGCTTTAAAAAAAGGTGCAGCGACTAAGAATAGTTTGGGAAACACTGCCTTAAATACTATTTTTAGTAAATATACTCATATCCTGACCTCCTAAACACTACACCGGTATGAACACAGCCAACAGTATTAACTATGCATCTTTCAAACACATCAGTGCAGAACAGTCAGTGAGGTGACATTTAAAGGGAACTGAACAAAACCAGAAGTGTTAATTTTGCGGCTTTTCATGGCAGAAGGGTTAAGGTGATCTCCATTAGGAATTACTATGCTGCTGAACTCTTCTTACCCTCACCACCCCCCGAAACAAGCAAAATGGGAAATTCACATTTGTAGAGAGGTAATTCTGAAGTACCTAGTTCGAATCCAGGTGGAGGCAGTTTGGCAGCAGATCGCTTTGGATTGATTTTTATAATGGCATTGAAAAACCAACCACTCAGTTCAGAAAGCAACCAGACAACGAAATAATTTTTGGATTAGTTCTGCTAAGGGAGTCACAATGGATCGGAAGGTCATGGGTTTGCTCTCTGGCAGAGCCGGACTTTTTTAAAAATGACCTTGGCTCCCAGGTCGACCTAGCCTTGAGTGGGTACAGGTGCAGTCCCGGGAAGTAAAGGCAGCCGGCGTGATGCTGACCACATCACCCATCTTGTGCCGATTGGTCTATACAAATATAGGTCTAGCCTTATATGCGCTATACGCCTATTAGCGTGGAAAAGTGTCCTTAGTTCTACAACGTGCTTTAAAGGATACAGTCAAGTCTGGATAAGTAGAAGTCGCAGGGACCTAAGAAAATGCTTCCACTTATCAGGATTTTTACTTATCCAGACAACACACACAATAAAGAAAATTGCCGGGACTAAGCTGGTCATGCTAACTTAACTGAAATTCCACTTATCCGAGTTCGACTTAAGCGAATTCAACTGTATTCAGCTAACTCAGAAAGGTTCACAATACAGTCGATGCACTCTACCCACTTAGTGCTATGTTAAACTAGGCTTGTGTAGCTGCTGCAGGTACCCAAATTATACATTTGGGAGGGAGGGGGGAGGTTGAATGGGGTATATGGATTTGCTCTTTCAGTCTGCCATTTATGATGAGACTTTTGAAGTCTAAGAGGTGATCAGACCTTCAGGTAGAGCAGTCTGGAGGAAAGGGGGGAGGGGGTGGACAAACATGCATGATTCAGTACAGAACATACAAACTAGCTGGGATATGGACCATGCCAGAAATGTTTCCCTGTCCACAGATTTGAAGTATATATTTTATTGCCAACAGACCGCAGCACACTGGCAGAAGAAATCTGCTACGTTCAGAATGGGTTAAAATGTGACTGGTTTCGAATGAACAAATTTTATTTTCAAAAGGTTACAAAGTGGACACGCAAGGCCGTCTTACATTTGGCCCTTCCAAGCACTCATCTTTCAGACCATAACTGCATGTTATCATTAATGTATCGTATGGTTATATAAAAATATGCATACACACACCATGTATACACAATCATACACTTACATATACACTCCTATTTGCCCATAGGTAAACAGAAATAAGCACACACATACATACATACATACATACATACATACATACATACATACATACATACATACATACATACATACATACATACATACATACATACATACATACATACATACATACATACATACATACATACATACATACATACATACATACATACATACATACATACATACATACATACATACATACAAACTAATCTAAGCCTGGAAACTGAAAACTGTCTAGTACAAGGCGGCTTCAAATTAAAACCCTAACAGTGTGATAACAGTTACAATAACCACACCCTTGTCTTGTAACCTGTCGTGAACAGTGTGACATCTATGACAGACTGGTATGCCTGACAAGGTTGTGAAGTCTGTCACAGAATTTATGCCCTTTTAAAACTTCCTACTCCTCTGATACATTTGCTAGAGTGACAAGTATGCATCACCATTCTGGATCTTCATTAGCCAATGAATTTTTAAAGGTTTTATCTCTTCACCGATTTAAAAAAAAATAATTATATAACAGAACGCTGCTATTCTTTAGTGTGTGTCAAAAGTGGGGCTGACATCTTAAGACTGTCATTTTGATGTCACCGTGTTTGCACCATGATATCTCGCACTTAACCCACTTGACATCCTAAACAATATTAGCTATCCTTTGGATATTTTCTCCAGGTCCTGTGCCGGTGTGTTGGGAAATAAGCAGGTAGATAAACTGGCTGGTTCTGCACCACAAGCTGGATGTTGTGAGGGCCCTTTGGGAGGAAGTGAACAGTGCCGAGGGACAGATAGATCATTACGGTCCAAGGAGAATGGCACTGTGGGGAGTTACAAAGGGATCTGGCCGACGTTTGACACTCAGGGGAGGATGAGACGGATATACAATCAGACAGTTATTGGTACCATATCAATTTAACTCTTAGCTTGCTGCTGAAGATGGGGGATGGAGCGCTTATGGGAGTGTCCTGAGTGCTGTGATGTTGATTCTCAATTGAATATTCAATCACTATGTCATCTGATTCTAGCTTAGGTCCCGAAACAGCTAAGAGGACCACAGTCTGCATAACAGCAGTACTGGGTCATCAGGGGTAAATAACTCAGCAACTTTGGAATCAACAAAGAATAGTTGACAAGTATTCTATTCACAAGGACAACAGTTAGAAATGAAATACCTTTGATGCCTCTGCCCATCAAAGCTGCCTCTCGCAGGCTGGGGAAATCTGATTCTTTTACCGGTGCCTGATCAACATCAGATGTGCTCCAGTTTTGACTATCCTTGGGTTTGCCTGTACAGAACACAAATATTCATGTTGAGTCATTCAAAACTAATGGCTTCTATATCTACATATTTCCAAGCATGAGGATCTAAGACTGGCCAGTGTAGTACAGTTCCTAGTGTGTTTGCATAACTTAACAGTGGTCAAGGTTCAAAATCCATAACAGTATCTGCTTTATGAAATCAGTGTTTGTGGCTTAGGCGTTACAAGCGGGCTTTGTAATGCCGAGGCTCCGGGTTCGATCCCAACTGTGGGCATTGCATTGGTTTCGACAGCTGTATCGAGAAGCTGACTGTCCAGAAAGCAATGGCAAACTACTGGACGTAAACCTGCTTAGGAAAACCACAACAGCCTAAAAATGCTGGTATTGGTTCTGCAACGCCCTGTATAGGTTACGCAACTAACTTATCTGCTTTATGATGATTAATTTCCTCGTGTGAGTTGCAGGACTCCATAATGGGGGGGGGGGGAAGAACAAACACACTGCCTCCCTAACAAGTAGGTCACATAAGGCGACTAATTATGGGGAGTTTCCTCCAAAGTCAGTGTGTGTCTGCCTGAGAGACAAGGAGCCAACAGTCTGCATGTAAATAAGCCAGATCTGTAAAAATGAATGTAAATGCAAAACTCTAGTTCTGCAACAGGCCCAGAAGTGGACAAAAAACAACCAGGACTTTCCGCTGAGAGTTTACAGCTGATCAACTGTAAAACTTCATGTTAATTCAGCTCTTGCTTTAATACTTAATTTTTTTAATTTTGATCAGCGGATAGTAATCTGTAACTATGAGGTGCTTAAAAACCTTGAAAGTTTAATGTCAAAAGTGGGGATGCCAATTTTAAACGGTCATTATGATATCACACTGTGACGTCACATGCTTAACACTCTTGACATCCTTATGAACAACACTGGCAAGCTACAAGACGATGACATGGTTATTGTAATTTCTATCATACTTTCAAGGTTTTCATTGGAAACCCTCTCATAAATAATAACATAACTAGAATGTCCTTGCACTGGAACCCACAGAGTAATAAAAAAAAAATGAGATCATCAAAGTTTTTTTCTTAAAACACAAACAATATAAACAACAAAAAGTGCATCTAACCTGTACACTTGTTGGCCCAGTGGCCTTCTTGTCCACATTTGAAACATTTGTTGCTGCCATAACTCTGACTACGAGCTGCCATTTTGACCTTCCACAATTTTCTCTTTAGCTGGGGTCCAGTCATTCCAGCACCTGAAGTTGTTATTTGAAAACCAATAAAAATCTGGACAGCCAGAGCAGGTAAAATAACTGAAGTACAAAATTAATATACTTAAAATATTATCCAAAATATACAAGAAATGATGGATACAATTGTAACAGAAAGTAAAACAAGGGTCTTAGTTTGAACAGAAAAACAGAAGTAATGCTAATTACAAAGAGAACTGACCCTTCCAAATGCAACATCAAAGTTAATGGGACAAATCTCAAGCAAGCTGATATGTTTAAGTACTTGGGTAACTATAAAAAACAATTCTGGTGACTGACATCACCCAACTTGTGCCATTTGGTCTATTAACATTAAGGTCTAGCCCTGTATGCCTAAAGGTGTGGAAAAGGGTCCTTACCTTTCCTGCGATATCCTTTACGCTTCATATTCAGGCAGACATAGTTTTCATTCATGGATGCAGCAGTCCTCCTGCTAAATCATACCAACAAATAAAAAGAAGAATGTTTGAACCGGTTTATAAAGTCAACATAAACACTAAAACTTAATTTTCTACTTTTATCAATGCTACCTTAGTCTTTACATCCAGCTTAGGGGGGGGGGCTGCATTGTCTCGAAGTATGGTGTCTGCCTCGAGTGCTAGAGCTCCCGGGTTCAGGCCCCAGTGAAAGCTGCCATTTTTTCTGTTTACGTAGACTTCTAGTAATTTCCATTGGTCTCTGGATAGTGAGATCGGACGCCCGTGTGTATTGTTGCTCACGTAAAAGATCCCTTTGGCAGTTGGAAATCAAAAAAAGCAGCCTAACAAAATTTGGAGTTAAAAATCTACCCAAAATATTTCAGGATCCTCGCCAGTGCTACCGAGCCCGTGCACTGCGCTGAGCTATTTTGGACTCAGACTTGAGTTAGAAGTAGAATGGACACTTATGGGTTACTACTCATGTGCCATGATGTTGATCCATTGTTCAAACTTACATCCAGCTTACAGAACACACTCTGAAAACAAACCAGGAACTTTAAATACTTAGGAAACATAATATCATCATCACCTAGCAGTCAGAAAATGAGGCTGATGACAAATATTACAAAACAAATCAACTCTTGGGCAAATGGCACCGATATTAAGAAACAAACATGTGCCAGTAGAAAGCAAAACACAATCTTCTTGCCAGCCCTTTGCTTTCAATGCCAGACTCAGACATAATTGGACAATGACAGAAAAAGATAAAAGAACAATTACAACCACTGAAATAAGACTCTAGTGAAGGGCTCTTATCCAGTGCCATAATCTTTTTGATTCACTATTATTTTTTTTGCTTTCTCCTTCTTGTTAGCATTCCCCTGATGTAAACTATGTGAGTAAAATCTGGAATGTCAGAATTATGAAACTGCATTCGTAACCAGGACGCAACAAATGCAAATAAATAGTAAAATTTCAATGAATACACTATGAGGCAAACATTCAAAACAGAACATCCCCGTTTGGGTTATGGGGGGGGGGGGGGGGGGGGGGGGGGGGGGGGGGGGATGAACGCAAAGAAGAGGAAAACAGAACAGAACAATCACTCACCTAGCAGCTGGCTTCCTTGGTTTAGAACTGGCACCAGAATTGAAAGCGGGTTTATCTTCAGCAGCAAAGTCCTCTGGCTCCTCTGAGACATTCTGAAGAAGTTTTAAAATCTGATAAACTACTCTACAACACTGACTCAGGTTCATATGTTAAAGGTTGAATTAAGAATCAACATTACAGCACTTGGGACACTCCCATAAGTGCTCAGTCCCCATCTTCAGCAGCAAGCGAAGAGTTCTAATTCTGATGGTACAAGTAACCGTCTGATTGTATATCCGTCTCATCCTTCCCCTGAGTGTTCAGTGTCGGCCAGATCCCCTGGTAACTCCTCGCAGCGCCATTCTCCTTAGACTACAATGATCTATGCGCCTCCGTACTATTTACTCGCTCCCAAAGGGCCCTCACAGTATAAAATATCAATTCACCGCCAAGTGGTGCAGAGCCAGCCAGTCTATCTACCTCTCATTTCCCAACACACCAGCATACCTGCAGAAAATATCAAAAGAATGCTAACTACCCGGGACCCCTGAAGTGATGCTTGCCACTCTGCATGAAGCATGCAAGTTTTACCTTTCTCAACATGCTCTGTGAGTCAGTTACACTTTAGATCCATAATTCATCTTAATTAACTGAGTTTAATTTGGCTGTCAAATAGCATCACCATAGCACACACAGAAATCTTCAGGGACTTAAATGTCTTTCCCAAAATTACACAATGGTATACTTTAAACACACATCTTCTACAATCCTAATGTGTGCACATTACTTCTTCTTCTTCAGCAGTCACCCTTACCAGCAGTTGATGCGCCGTGTTGTGGTTTACAGCTAGGCTACAATATCTGTGTCTTCTGGCCCCACACATCCAATTTCATTGTTCCCGATTCACTTTAAAGATCATCATAATCAGACATGACCATTAGTGCTCTGACCTCCCCCTGATTTTGTCACCAAGTATGTTTAGGCTAACAACTCCCATTCTGTCCTGGTTAATGTTAACAATGGGTGGTTGCATCACTGATTTCCTGTCTCACAGCTACAGCTGACAGTACTTCTTATAAGTCACCTTTTATGACTCACTTGTTGGAGGTAGTGCGTCTATTATTTTTCCCCAAAATGGGGCCACAGAACCCACATAGGAAATATCAGATTTTCAACTTCATAGCAAATGGGACATCCCATAGTTGATCTATTCCTATGCCAACGAAAACCACACAGAATGTCCATCACTGTCCCTTTTGGAGAAACTGACAAAAACTGCAGTTTTAGAGTACGAAATAGCACACACATGCATTAACCAACTGACTACTATGACGTTACTTTATGCCTGGCTACCACAATTGCACCCTTGCGATCGTAACTTTAGACGCTTCCCTCATGATAAAAGCACAATTTTTGTGATGAATTTGGTTGTAGCTTTTAGTCAATTCATTTCGCTATATTTCTTCAGCAACAGAGCAAATGCAGAAGAAGACAAATATGGTAAAAATGTAAATAAAGTTCTATAAATTAACATTTTTAATGGATATTTCTGAATATCCTACAAATATTTTTTTTAAATATAAAATGTACTGTAGATTTTCATTACTAATACGTTTTAAATATCAGACACATAAAGTTATAAGGCACTGCAGTTGTACATCACTAACATTTACTATCAAACGTTTTGTAAATGTCAACATATTTATTTATATTACACATGCTGAATCACAAATGTTACTTACCGTGGACTGATTTCCGGTCTCATCCACGCCGTCTGCTGCCCACCCAACTGGTTCATCCAAGGACCTTTTTCTCTTCCTCTCACCAGCATTCCTGGCTGAAACACTTGCACCATTGATCATAGTTGGTGCGCTGGATGTTTTTTTCCGTTGTCATCCAAGGTATCCTCTGTGGATACAGCCAACGACTTTGCCGTTTTTCTCTGTCCAGTCTTTCTCTTTACTGTAGCATTACCATCCATGGGCAGAGTGAGCTTGCTATCAGCAAATTCATCAAATGCTGAACTTTTATTTGTTGCATCTAAAGCTGCTGCTTTTTTTGCTGAAACTATTTTCCTGGTTCTTTTCTTACTTGTTTTTCCATTTATTTCTGAGGAAACTGAAGAAGTTGATGCCACTGTGCTCAACTTTGGATTTGTCTGAATATCTTTCTGTTCTGGTGATAAATTACAAGTAGTGTCCGATGAAGCCAAGGTATGTGAAACAGTGCTGATTTTTGACGATTTTCTAGTTCTTTTTGTTTTTGATGAACCGTGAATTTGTTGTGAAGTTTCAGCAGTATTTCTAGAATATGCATCTACTGGCTCATCAAAATTAAAATCTTCTCCAGTGTTGACATTTCTATGAGGATCATACTCTTGACTGTTATTTTTGAGTTTGTCTGATGAACAATGAGATGTTAAAAAACCAGCATTTATGTTTTTCCCTTTCTCCAGTTCCTTGCTCTTTGCAGCCTGAGTGTCTTTGGACAAACGAGTACTGCTTTTATACAAACAACTACCAGTTTGAGAAATAGCTCCACTGTCTGCAAATGGTTCCTCATTATCATTTACAGAAAAAGTGCCAGAAGTTTCAAAGGGATCCTCAAAATTTATTTTATAACCAGAATTGTCATCAATTTTACTACAAGCTGGCATATGCATCAGAAATGATAACCGAGGTCTGCTCGTTATCTGATGTTTCAATAAGGCTGAGTGGCCAGATTTAGGTGTAAACAGCTTCCCAGCACTTTTAAACAAGTCTCCTTTAACAATAAGATCCTGATCCAAATTTGGGTCATTTCTCTCTCTGGGTGATTTTTCAGATTTTGCAACAGCCCCTGAACTCTCAACTGACAATGCTGTGGTATTTGAATTTAACATGTCTATTTTCTCAGTGTTCTCACAGACTTGGAACTGTACTGAAGATTCATTAGTTACAGTGCTCTGGGAATCTGGGCCAATGGAATCAACAGGTTTCTGAAATATAAATGTGTTTTATTATATTTGTTTTTATTTAATTATAAGCAGAACTACTATTAACATTTCCATAGCTACTTTAGTTGAGTTAAGAACCAACATCACAGTAATTGGGACATTCCCATAAGTGCTCTGCCCTCCTCTTCAACAGATAGCAGAGAGCTCTAATTCAGATGATACCAGGGGCAGTTTGATTATATGTCCATCCTGCCTCTGTTCTCAGAGATAACTCTCAGCCAGACCCTTGGTCACTCTGCACTGTACCCTTCTCTATGCATTGTAACAATCTGTTTGCAACTCCATATTTGTCCTTTTGCTCCTAAAGGGCCAGACCGCATCTAATGTGTCATACATCAATTTACAGTGGTGCAGACAATCAGTATGTTCACTTCCCCAACCCAAAACACTAGAATGCTAATGAGAAAAAATCCAAAGGACACTAACTGCCGGGAACAGCTGAAGTGATGCTTATTCCAATGCAAGCCTTTCTAAGCATGCTTTGTAAGTCTCTCACAACTGGATCCTCTGCATGCAGCAGTTCTCAAAGCAGCAGAAAACTGCTGAGACTGCCTCCAGTTCCATTCTCAAACTAGATGCTGCACCAATGCTAGAAATACAGTGGAACTCAGGATACAAATTTAATCCGTTCCATGAGTGAGCTCATATGGTAAATAATTTATTTGCTAAAACTATTTTCCCATCAAATTAATGTAAATAATTTTAATTCGTTCCAGCCCTCCAAAAATCAAAAACAAAAAAGTCTTTTTTTTTTCCTTAAGGGTGAAAATTTGAATCACTGCTTTTTTTATTTGTGCTGGCAGTAGAAAATGATGTTACATCACGCCTGGATGCTAGAATCCATCACCATGAAGTGCCTTGATGATTGTCTTACATCCTCCTAAGGTAACGCTACTGTGACCTAATCTGTTTAATAGTAAGTAAGTAAAG